GACCATCTGCTCTTTCTACCATTATTCTTAGATCTAATAATAAGTCATTTCAGTATTAGAGACATTAAATCTAGATTGAGTTGTGTAGTAATTATACTCTCCAGCCCCATAGGAAACATTTAAGGTGATTAGTTTCAGGTTGTCCACACAGTGACTTGAGGACCACTGCTGATACCTAGGAGGACTGGGTAGGGTAAAATTAGATTTCTTAATTTATGAAGTAGCTCTTACTTTATTAAAAAAAAATGACAAACAGCTTCTTCCCTACTTCTAAGTATAGAAAAATACAATTGATTTTATATTAAAGAGGAATTTTCTATTAAAGAAAATGGAGCTCTCTTGAGTATTCTTCATTGGAAGGCCCTAGTCAAAACCTGTTCTTTAATTCTTCGTCAGTCAAGTGTTGTATCTGATGGCTAGGATGTCAGTGTATAACCATTTTGTTTTGAAGCACAGTGCCAGTCATTTTCTTGATGGTAAGAACCTCCTTAAAATTTGCACATTGGTTCTGGAATATGCCTGGAGTGATGGAGCACTTGCCTAGCAAACACAGGGACATGGGTTCAGGGCTCTAAGTTCAAACTTTAGTAATGCCCTTCTCGCCAAAAAGAGAAAAGAAAACCTGAACATTGTTAGGATTAGCAGCCATGTTTTAAAGTGATTTTGTAAGTGTTTCATTCTTTCTTTTATTTTAGGCATCTTTCCGATTGATAATTATGAGGAAATAAACTGAATAGTTGGATTTGATCTCCAGTATTTCTTCTCTTTGTCAGATTCCAGGTTTCTTTTTTTGTAATTATTAACATAATGAAATGTTTTCAGAGTTTATTATTAGTATTTTATTTTGACTTGGGCTTACTACCTTTATAATACTTGCTTAATTACCACAAAAGATTAGCAATTACTCTGATTAATAGATTTACCAGCTCACAGCTGTAATCATAACTACTCAGGAGGCTGAGATCTGAGGACTACAGTTCAAAGCTATCCTGGGCAGGAAAGTCCCCAAGACTCTTATTATCTTCAATTAACCACCAAAAAAGCTGGAAGTAGATATGTGGCTCAAATGGTAGAGTACTAGCCTTGAGCAAAAGAAGCTCCTGAGTTCAAGCCCCAGACCAGCAAACATACAAAGATCAATACCTTAATGTGATCATGCTAATTAATAGCAAGTTAATGCACATTTAGGTTTGAGTAGATTCAACCTGTCTTTGCATATGTTTTTACCTGTCTTACATATCGTATTTGTTCAGCTATGTTTCTAGAACTAAATGTAGGAGAGCATATTTTTGTATCAATTAAATGTAACCCTTTTCTATCTGTGTGGATCCTGATCCTGTCTTCTAACATATTTGCTGATTTACATAGCTTCAAGTCATTTATAGATTGAATAAATTTTTGTCTTCAGTTGCTGTATCTTTAAATCACTAACAAAAGTTTAGAACAGTTCAGGTAAATGCCTCTCTACAGGTTGTTACTCTTCTTACTAATATTCTTAATTTCATTAGCATATATTTTCTAGCTGGCTCACAATTCTGTGTTGCTGTGTAATATTAAAAAATTATTTTAGAGGTTTATATCTCATCTACCTCCCTGTTTAACAATTGATTTAACTATTCTCCTTTGTTTACTTATTTTTTCTGAGTGATTTTCTTTGCCGTCATTGTTGAATCTAGATCACTTTCATACATGTTTTTCTATGATCTATAAGTCAAATGATCTTGTGAAAGAACAGAAATTGTTTTACTAACAAAGCTGTCTCTATGATTTCCACTCATTACCAGGACCTCACAGTTATCCTTTGTTTTCTTTTGAGTCCCTGCCCTTACCCAGAGAAGCTTATGTGATAGTAGAATCTACTTGACTCCTTTTAAAAAAATAAAGATATCTTTTCCCAACTCTAGTTTTCAGCTATCTCTTTTTGAATAATACCTCAAAGAAATAATACCTTAAAGACCACCAACTGTGGTTTGATCAAAGATGTCATTTATTCTGGAATGAATTTTGTAAGCTAAGTGTCTGATATAGAATAGCTATGTATTTTCTTTAAAACACACCTCTTCTGAGTTCTCAACTTCCACTTAACACTTCTTCCTTAGTTTTTTAAATGAAAGAGTAAATTCTGTTGAAGAATAGAGAGAATCAAAATGGGTGTTCATTCAAGTTGTATCTGAATCCCACATAACATGTATCTTACTTGATTGTCATGTTGAGCCTAACAAATGCAAAGAAAACATTTTTGTTCCTATCAATCACCCAGTTAACTAGATGAATGAAAGAGTAGATAAAGAAGAAAATAGTAGGAGAGGGACATCTATAGCCACCTAGAAACAGATAACTGCCTGATATGTAACTTACAGTTGGTCAGTAAGTAAATAGTCCATTTTTGGAGAATGACTTACTTATTTGCTTTTCCTGAGCTACTTTCTCCCCAACAAGTTATATGATTGGTAATGGAATGTGATTGGTAATTATGTACTTACTACGAAACTCAAACCCTAGAAATAATTTATTGACAAATTGCTGTAAAGATGGATTGGACAAATTTTAGTCATTGATTGACCCAGAGACTCAAATGATCATTAAGCTACATGAATCTACTTTCTTTTAGAATAATCTCTGTCAGGCAAGTTGTCATGACTGTGGCAAATGGTTAGGTAGCACTTACAGAGGGAAATTTCTCTTTGTAGAAGCCAAAGAATACATGCTCCCAACAAACAGACTTACTTATTTCATATGTTAGACAAATAATACTATATTTTAAGATTAGCATTATATGTGGGCCAACAAATTTTGTATATGGAAATCTAAGGAGATTAACAAATAACTACTGTTTACTAGTTTTTGAAGATGGGTTATTATAGTGTTTGATGAGTGAACCCTCTTTGCCTAAGAGATGAGTAAAATTGGTAATAATTGGGCAAGCAGAAGTGTTTGTGAAATGGAAGGAAACAGGCACTGAAAAAAATCGCTTGTAAACTTACATCCTTGTAAACTTAGCACAAGACAAACTTTCTTCATTTAATTACCCTCAGACTACTAGTATAAATGCTTTAGTTTTTTTAATCAGTTCTACAATCTAGTGGTTCTCATAATGTTCCATAGAGAGATAAGCATCAAATGAGAATTCTATAGAAATACAAATTATGGAGCTCCTTTTTAATACTGAATAACAAACACTGGAACTGGAACCCAGCAATTTATCTTTTAACAAACATACCAATTAACTCTTCTGGAAACTGAAGTATATGAAACATATACCATGGTTTATCCTCATAACATTTTTATATATTACTTGTACCCTCCAATATCTTTTCTGGTTCCTAACCATTAAACATATTATTAAGTATTTTTGGCAGGACAAGGCAAATTGCTTGAAGAAGAAGAGAAGTTGAATCAGTTAACTCTACCTTGGCCTTGAATGTCAAATAGGCATGAACAATTTTCCTACTGTAAGATTAGATATAGTGTTAAAATGCCTATTTTTAAAATGTAGTAGGAAAATATGTAAGGCATTAATGAGAAGGAACCTGAAAATTCTAATTTGCATAGAGGGCTTTGAAAATCAAGGACTAAAGGCTTACAGAAGAGACCTTACAAAGAAAGAATGAATCAATTTCAGTAACTACAGTATAAGAGCTAGAAATTAAAGGTGATATAACAGTTTAAGACCAGGTATTTAGAATAATGCTAATAGTAGTGGGAATCTGTTATTAGGGAATATGATAAATATCCATTGCTTCCCAGATTAATTTGAAGTTATAGAGAAAGAAGAGTTGAGAGGTCATCTTTTGGTAGATTAGAGTACTAAGAGGAACTGAAAATATAATGATATCTCCATTTGTTCCTTAGATATTATTATCTGTAATCCCAGTATTAGGGAAGCTGAGGCAAGGCCTTAATCATGAATTCAAGGCCAGTCTGTCTGGGTTTACATAATGAGGCCTTGTCTTAAAAAAAAAAAGTGTTTTATTGTCCATCCATCATGTGACACAATTCTAGATCCTCAGAATAAATATAGTGATAGGAAAACCCTATTTTCAGAACTAATAACATGTAGATAAATAAGCATGATAATTTCAGATAGTAATAAGATTTGCAAAGAAAATAACAGCCCACACCCCAGCAATTCTTGCCTATAATCCTAGCTACTCTAGAGGCTGAGAGCTGGAGGGTCTGAAGCCAGTCCCAGCAGAAAAGCCAGTGAGACGCCGTCTCCAAACCAGAAAACAAAAAGTGGAGCTGAAGGCATGGTTTAATTTGCAAAATACCAGCTGAGCAAATATAAAACCTTAAGTACAAACCCTGGTGAAGGTAGGGGGGAGGAATAAAAGAACAAAGGTATAGAGAATTTCTTCAGCTAGACAGTTATAAGAAGATCTGAGGTAATAACATGTGGTACAGTTATATTAGAAGGCAAGTTTAGAAAGCCAAATGATGGTGGTGTAGCTAAATGGCCAAGGAGAAATGTATGAAGCCATACTAAACTAAAGGGTTCATTATACCTTTTTTTTAAAATATTATACTTTTTGTCTTTTGAAAAGCTATTCCATGTGAAAGGTTCAGAGAAAGGTTCATTAATATCAGTCCAGCCTGACATTCAATCCATTTGTTTGCTGAAAGCTCAATTTCTATGGATCTCATTCTTTAGTACAGTAAGAAGTAGTATAATTTTATTGATTGGGATGAATTTAACAACTAGCCTAATGCTTGAACCTAAGTACTTCAGTGGCACTCTAATACTGAAATAATAGTTGTAACTGAAATGTGAAAGTCAGTCATATGAGATGCAACTTTATTTAATAATGATTGGATGTGATGGCTTCTGTTATAAATTATTGTTATTTAGAAGTCACCTTTTATCTTTATCTTGCAATGAAGGTTAAAGCATGAAACCACAATTCACGAAAAATTATAATTAAACACTTTACTTGAATTAATTACTTGATGATAATAATACTTTTCAGACCTAGTTACTTTTAAATATTTTCTTCTTTCAGATGTATACATCTCATGATTGATGGGAAGAAACAAGTCATGGGCCAAAGGTCAAGATACTTCTCTGGGAAATGCTGCTGCTGATGCTGCTTTATAAAGTCCTACAATGAGTGTTTGGTTTGGGAACGATTTTCATATTTAAAAGATTTTCATCTTGGAAGTAAATCAAGTGAAAATTAGATTCATTTGGGAAACATTTTCCTCCTAATAAATTATACTTATAATGGGCGACATGGCAAACAACTCAGTTGCATATAGTGGTGTAAAAAACTCTTTGAAGGAAGCTAATCATGATGGAGACTTTGGAATTACGCTCGCAGAGCTGCGGGCTCTAATGGAGCTCAGGTCCACAGATGCATTAAGAAAAATACAGGAAAGCTATGGAGATGTCTATGGAATTTGTACCAAGTTGAAAACATCTCCCAATGAAGGTAAGTTGTATTATGTTTGTTTTTAGTCTTTTGTGCAGAGTGCTCTTTATAAATAACATGGTTATTGTAAATAGCATGATTTTATTGTGTTGGCTATCGTGATCATGCCATAGTTATAGTGATATTAAAATGAAGTGTTTATCAGATTGGTATAGAGTATCTTTAGTTTGAGAAATGTTTTAGACCAGAGAGACAAATATTTTGTTCTATTGTTCATATTAGTGCTGCCTGTTTACAATAACAAGAGTGTCTTTCCATTGAAGCTATACAGGATGTAACCAGGCTCGGTACCCCCGAAGGGATACAGTGGAAATAAACTCAGTTCATCATCTTCCATTTTGCCAGCTAACTTAAAATAATTACCACTGTAAATAGCTATCCAAGTTGTTTTAGTTTATGGAGCTTAATCTAAACTTTATTAGTCTGTTCATAAACAACATTGTAGACTAGAGGGCAGTTTTTTCCCTTAGCTGTGGTTAAAAATAATTTTCAACTTTTGAATTATGTTGATTTCTATTTATTGGTTTGTTTGTTTATTGGTGCTAGTACTGGGGCATGAACTTAGGGCCTCTCACTCTTGCTTACCTTTTTTGCTCAGTGCTGGTGGTCTGCAGTTGAACCACACCTCTATTTGCAGACTTTTTTTTTTTTTTAGATAATTGGAGATAAGGGTCTCTGTATTTTTCTTTCTGAAGTGGCTTCAAACCTTGACTTTCAAGATCTCCTGAGTAGCTAGGAATATAGGTGTGAACCACAACCACTGCACCCAGTTAATTTTCCTGTGTTTAAATAAGGCTTGAGTATCATAATTCTTTTTTTATTTTTTATTTTTTTATTTTGAAAATACTGTACAGAGGGGTTACAATTACATGGGCAAGATAATGAGTACATTTTTTATCAAGCATTGTAGCCTTCTCCTTTGTTTCCCCTTCCCATCCCATCCTTCCCCCCCCACCCTCCCACCCAAACCTCCCCCCCCACCAAAGTACTATTATGACTTCACTGCATTATAGTCTTTGAAATTATTTGAAAAAGACAGTGTTTAATTCATTGATCATATTTAATATAATATATGATTAGGCATTTCAGAAAGGCGATTTCATATTGGCAAAGGTGAAAATGGAAGGGAATACAGGTTAAATGTTTAATGATTAAATGTTTGGATACTATTCTAAAGGCAATTATAGAAAAATTATGTAGAAAACATGTATATAATTATGCAAATTGCTATTATGATAGTTTCTTTGATTTCTCTGAGGTAAATGATGTTGAGGAAGCCAGTATAAGTAGTCATACGTGTCTTTAAAGGGCTTCTTACACTACTTGGGGGGGGGGTGCTCTTTTTCAGCTTATTCATGCTCTGTTAAATAAAAATGTGCATTGTTTTTTCCTCTGTTTTTTTTTATAAAGTTCTTGTTCTATTATTGTAGATTTAATATTAGCTAAAGTAACATACTAAATATTAACAATTATCATTTTTAAATGTTTTTAAAGACAATGAAAATAACCATTGTAGCCAGGTGCTGGTCGCTCATGCCTGTAATCCTAGCTACTCAGGAAGCTAAGATCTGAGGATTGAGGTTTAAAGCCAATCTGGGTAGGAAAGTCTGTGAGACTCTTAAGTCCAATTAACCACCAGAAAACTGAAAGTGAAGCTATGGCTCAAAGTGGTGAAGTGTTAGTTTGAGTAGAAATGCTCAGGGACAATACCCTGGCCCTGAGTTCAAGCCCCATGATCTATAAAAAAACATAGTAAGCATTCTGTTTGTATTTACAATTTTGAAGAATATAAATCAAAACCCAAGTAGCCTTCATTAAAGTTTATTTTCAAAAGACTCTTGATAGTTTCAGTTTAATTTCATAGAACTATTTCACTCAGAAAGCTATAGATCATTTTGTCTCATATCAACTAGGCAAACAGTAATAACTAAAGTGTCAAGAATAAGCAAGTAGGAGTTTGTATGAAGTTTACATGTCCTTTTAGTTCTGTAATTTATTAATCATCATTGACTGATACAGTCTTTGATCAGGCTACATGTTTGATTTTTGTGCAGGTATGGAGCTTGAACTGAGGGCCTAGGCACTCACTGCCCTGAGCTTTTTCTCTTCAAGACTAACACTCTGCCACTTGAGCAACAGCTCCATTTTCAGCTTTTTGGTAGTTAATTGGAGATCAGTCTCATGGATATTCCTGCTCAGGCTCAGATTTGAGCCTCTTGAGTAGCCAGGATTACAGACATAAGCCATGGGTATCCAGCTTCAGAGTATGTGTTTTATATATCACTCTTTAAAAAGGGGGTTTTTAATACAGACCCTTAAACCACTGCACATGTACTGCATGTTATGCAAGTTCAGCTCACACAGTTTTTAGGAGAATAGAATTCTTCTGGAAATTATGAGGGGAAATTTTTATTTTATTTTCTGTCACTCTAACAAAATACCTAAGATAACAAAAGAAAAAAAACATTTGGGCCGGGAAGGTTCTCAGTGGTAGAGTGCTTGCCTTGCATGCATGAGGCCCTGGGTTCAATTCCTCAGTACCACATAAGCAGAAAAAGCCGTAAGTGGTGCTATGGCTCAAGTGCTAGATAGAGCTAGCCTTGAGCTGAAGAGCTGTGGACATCACCCAGGCCCAGAGTTCAGGCCCCATGACTGACAAAAAAGAAAAGAAGCATTTGTTTTGATTCATACTTTGTGGTTTTCAGTTTATGGCTAGTTGGTTTGTTGCTTTGAGGACTATAATGAAGCAGAACATTATTAGCAGGAACATGTAGTAAAGGAACCTATTTATCTCATGACAGCTAGCAAACAGAAAGAGACAGGGAGAAGGGATCAGAGTTCACTAATCCCCTCAAGGCACACTACAGGGACCTAAGTTACTTCCAGTAGGTCCAGCCTCCCAAACATTCTACTACCTCCTAATAGTAGCCCAAGATGATGACCAAGCCTTTATTTAACACATGGGCCATTAGGATACATTCAGTGTTCCCACTGAAACCAGGACCTTAAGCATACTAGGCAAGTATGATACTACTTGAAACCATGCCCCCAACCCTTGTTTATATTTTGTTTGAAATGGGGTCATGCTAACTTACTGTGCTGGGTGTGAACTCAAAACCTCTTGCCTCCACCTCCCAAATAACTAGCATTATAAGCATATTTCACCATACCAGGCTTAACAGAATAGTTCTTGAATTTTCTGAAGAATACTAATGTTTACTAGAAGTGTTTGAGCCAGATGTGATTTTTTTTTCATATTAAATGATTATTCTCTCCCTGCCTTCGGAATTGAGCCTTATATTTTCAGTTGGCTTCCTTGCTCTTGGCTGGCACTCTCCCACTTGAGCCAAACCTCTAGCCAGTTTTTTTGCTAGTTATTTAGAGATGAAGTTTTGAGGACTTCTGGCTGGTTTGAACTGAGATCCTCCAGGTCTTACCAGCACCAGGTCTACTACCTCACTCTGAAAGGAATTGGAACAATAAATTTCATAATTAACTGAAATTGAGATTTGTAACTTCTTAGTTTTAGCTTTCTTAAAACAGCATCTGTCTTAAAGGCTTTGGGATTCAAGAATGTATTTTTATACCAAAATACCCTGTTTATAACATCCGAACTACATAACTTTAACATTTTTCCTGTAATATTTGTTTTTTTTTTACATTGACTTTCTTATATTCTAAATTGCATTTCTTGTTCCTTTTATTTTTAGAATTGCTTTTAGTATCATTCCTATTTCAATGAATTCTTTATGTTGAATGGTAAGGAAGATCCTCTAATAATAAGATTTCTGGAATGCAAGTTTCTAGCTCTAGTATCAGTTCATTATACAGCAGACTTCAATAAACAAAGTATAAAAATAAATTCATAAAAATTAAAAGCAGGTGTCAAGTGGTACTCTGTAAGAAGCATTAGCTTCGTGGACTTAGAAAAGGTGAAACATTACTTTTGCAGTGTTGATTGCTAACAATTAAGTAGAAGAGACAAAGAACAAAAGGAAAAAAAGAGAAAATGGTAGAGAGAATTTTTTTGTGTGGTAGAAAACAGGATAGCATTGACAGAAGTTGTCTGATTGTCTGAAGTTCCCATCATGTTTCAGATGACAGCATATATTTGCCATCACTAGAAGTAAGAATTTTACAATGGTACACTTTGATCATGTATTCATTGTATAATGCAAAACCCCTAATATTCACACATAGAAATATATTTTTAACTCTTTCAGAAAATGTTCTTCAAGCTGGACATGAAGTCCTATGCCTGTAATTCCAGCTACTGGGAAAGGATCACAATTTGAAGCCAGCCAATGCAAAGTTAGCCTGTGTGAAAAACATGTGAAAATGAAAAGTACTTGAGGAGTGACCCAAGTGTGGAATACTTGTCTAGCAATCATGTTGCACTGAGTTTAGTCCCTAATACCATGCTACTTCCCCCAAATCAATTCTTCATCCAGTATAAATCCTTATTAACTTATAAGACTACTACAGGAATGTTCTAGCCTCCTTGTATATGATAGATTATCTAGATTAGCATGGGTGTTCAGCATGTATTTGGAGGGATGGTACCATTGCAAGTTTTATGTTGATTTTACGTGACCTAGTCCTAGAAATGTATTGCTACTGTAATTGAAAATTATACATTATTTTCATAACTGCTCTCATCATTAGTTTTCATTACCTGTGAATTTTTAAAAGATAATTTTAACATTACTTTGCTAACTTTAGCATGTTCAAGTGCTTTCACATATGAAAAAATGTGAAGTAGCATGGACATTAGTATTGTTATTTTTTTTACCCTTAGTTTTCAGATTACTGTAGACGTACTTCCTTTTCTTATTAATGCTGTACTCTTTAAGAACTCTCTTCCTGTGTTTACCGTTAAGTTATCCTCAGGTTGCTGTTTTTCAGTGCGCTCTCCTGGGTGATTCCCTATAGTCCAGGATTTCCTCCTGAAGCTGGGGAATAAAGACCTGAGTCCTTTTTAATACCTCCATTGTTTTATA